CTGTGAGAGGTATTTGTTGTTTTTGTGCCCACCAATTCAGATGAGGGGGGGGTTGGTTCCTTTTTGGTGCTTTTTTCCCCATTTCTGATAGGTCTTGGGGAATTTAATGGTTGTTTTTCGGGCTCTTTGGCTGTGTTCTGAAGGTTGTTCTTCCTAATGTTTTGCCAGTCTCTGTGGCCGGCATCTTGAGAGGATAGGAGTAGCACTCTGTGCTCTGGTGCAGTTTGTTTGGGTGTTGAGTATTTATAGTTGTTGGATCAGCTTTTGTTCTTTTCAGGAGATGGGTGATTATGGTGATCAGTGTGTTTTTGTTGTGGGTGTATTGTTGTGACAAGAAGGAGAGATGATCTGTCACTGTGACTGATGGGTGTCGTTAGCTGTTCTTTTGTGTGTAGTGAACACCAGTCCTTGTGCCTGTGTAGAGTTTTTTTGACCTTTTGCAGGCTGTATTTTTCAGTGCTGGGAGCCAAGCTTTGTTGAGTTTTAAACTTTCTTTTTGTTGAATNGAGTTTTAAACTTTCTTCTTTTTGTTGAATATCTGCTGGTATTTCAATGGCTTCCCTGTGCAGTCTAATGTAATGATTGCTGGTGTTGTCCGGTATTTCAGTATTTTGAAATAGAATTTCATGTCCAGCTTGTTTTAGGGGATGTTCAGCTACTGCTGATTTTTCCGGTTGTTTAGGAATGGATTAATCGGGTTTCAATGCATTTCTATGGGAAATGCTATTTGTTGAATATCTGCTGGTATTTCAATGGCTTCCCTGTGCAGTCTAATGTAATGATTGCTGGTGTTGTCCGGTATTTCAGTATTTTGAAATAGAATTTCATGTCCAGCTTGTTTTAGGGGATGTTCAGCTACTGCTGATTTTTCCGGTTGTTTAGGAATGGATTAATTGGGTTTCAATGCATTCCTATGGGAAATGCTACTTTGATGTATGAACTTTTTGACTTACGAACACCATTCCATTACGGATTAAGTTTGTAAGTCAAGGCACCACTGTACTCAGTTTGTCTCTAGCTTGTATACATGTTGCAGTTCCTTGTGTTCCCTTTTGTATCCCCTTCTTCTTCCACTCTGTCAACATTCTTTTTTCTGAAAAGCTTTTGGGCAAGGACTTAACAGGCACCTGCTGTGACTGAACATATTTGGGGAATGCCAGGTTGAGAAAGGCTGATCTGTTACATTTTTATAATGATGAGACTTACTGCAGTGTGTAACGGATTCCTTGTAGGTCCCTCCTCCAGGTACTCATCAGACCCAGTTGTGTTCAATTTCAAGTTGACTGCCTCAGGTACCTTCAGATCATGCCATCAGTCATAATGTAGTGTAGACTATATTGTCTTAGATGAGGACATTGCCGCATCTATTCGTATATTTGTAGTACAGTACATGTTGAGTGTTACAGCGAGCTAGTAAAGGGACCAGGCCACTTCTTGCTCCTACTTTATTTTGGTTTTGCTTGATTTTGACAGATGTTTGTTCACATTCTTATTCTTTTATGCTGTTCCCGACTTCTTTTCTTTGGAATCTGACCTAGGCTATTATTAAGCCAAGATCACCCAAGATATTTTGGGAACTCTATGAAGCAGTGAGAGGACAGTCATGAATAGGAGCCTGATGGCTTAATTGTAGTTGAAACCAGAGCTTGGAAATGTTATTTCTGTGGAGGAGAGCTCCCAGAATCCACCAGTTAGTGTGGCCGGTGGCCACTGGTGTGGCGGCTCCATGATTCTGAGCTGAAATCTGAAAAAAATGTAGCTTTTGTAAGCTCTGATGAAAGCTTCTCCTCCTATGACCAGACAGATTGTGATTGATGGTGCAGATGGCCTCTTGCTGAATGTTTGCTAATCAACAAACTTGCTTTATGGTTGGTATCACTTTCAAAAGTGCTTTGGAAATGGGAATATTTCACAACTCTGTGCCTTCGTCTACCATATGCCTAAGATCTTGGGGTGGGGGGATGGCGACGGGGAAGCACAGTTGATTGGGATAATAACAGTTATGTACTAGCATCTAGAGCTGTTTTAAAAGTACTTCTTAATTTTGGTTTAAATTACTTCAGTAGATCTCTGTGAATGTTAGTCTTATGATGCCATTGCTCCTTAATTTTTATTTTTCAATTCTATTTAAAGTACTTTGGTTGTCTCTCCTTTTAGCTAAAGCCACTATAAGTGGGATCCAGCACAGTGTAATTAAAGAAATTGACCAGGGTGAGATCATAATAGACCACATGAAAAGAATCTGCTTTGTTTTTCTGTAGGAGTCTAAAGTCTACCCATTAGAGTCAGATGCAGAACAGCATTTGAGGAAGGTAAATATAGAAGTAAGAATCAAGGATACCTCTTAGCGTACGACCAATACAAGTACAGTGGTACCTCGCTTTACGAGCGCTCCGTTTGACGACGAAATCGCATTACGTTGAAGATTTTGCGATCACAAAAGCGATCGCAAAATGATGTTCCCTATGGGGGAATTTCGCTTTGCGATGATTGGTTCCCTGTTTCAGTAACAGATCATCGTAAAGCGATGATTTTCGGCCAGCTGATCGGCGGTTTCAAAATGGCCACCGGGTGAAAAACATGGCCGCCCGCTGTTTTCTGGCACAGATTCCTCACTGCACGGGCAGTGAAAATGGCTGTGCTATGGAGAATCATCTCTGGACGGTGAGTTTTAAGCCCATAGGAACGCATTAATTGGGTTTTAATGCGTTTCTATGGGCTTTTCAAAATTGCATGACAGTTTCGTTCGACAGTGATTTTTGCGGAATGAATTAACATCATCATGCGAGGCACCACTGTATTGTATGTTTTCCCCCCCAAGCACTAAACTTATTGCATTTTCATACAAAGTGTGCTCTTCATTTCCATTCCAAGGTTTTTTTCATCTCAGCAGCCTTGTTTAAAAGGTCACTAGAGAAGGAGAGCTTTGTTTTTGCTGTTAAACCATTAGAAGTTTGAAACTCATGGTGTTCTACCGGAAATGCTTGCAGATCTTGGTTGGTTTTCTGCTTACCTCTCCTTAGGGCAACAACGACATGTGAATAAATGTGTAGGATTGGGGCAGCGCTAGAGAATAGATCAAACATCTGTTGAATTAATGTGCAAAATATCCAACCTGGTGTAGTTAAGATAAGCTGATGAATCCTTGACTCTAATCAATAGAAGGGAGTGATGTCTTTAGGTTTCCTGTGTAGCACTGACAAATGGATATCACGTTGGCTCTGGCCCAGTCAGATGGCCCATTTGTAAGTATTAAGAAGCAGCCTTTGTGAGAAAGGCTTTTTCATTTTAGGGAGCAGCTGTTGTAAAACATTTGTGTCTCCCGAGGGTTGTGAACTCTAGAACGTGGGGAGTTTTCTGAAATGTAACTTTTTTTCCTCTCCTTTCACTGTTGCAGCTGCACTTCGAGATCATAATGCATCAGAAACATGAGAGAACATAGAAGAAGTTTACAGCGAAGGAGACGGTTGCTGGCCGGTTTTCGAAAATGGGCTGTGGGATTTTGGGGGCTGAGGCAATATTGCTTCCAAAGGAAGCGTCTTTCTCTACATAAAAGAAGGCAGCAAAGTGCTGGGACATACGCGAGCCTGAAACGAACTAAACCATGCAGAAGGAAGGCTCTTCAGCCCCAGAGAGATTGTGTTCCTGAAAGGTCTCTAAAGGTAACCCCTCTTGCCCTTGTTGAAAATCACGCCTTCCCACAAAAGAGATTAAAAAATGCTTCCTCTCGGCGCCAGAACGGAAGACTGCTGACAAAAGCAGAAGAGCATCGCAGGAAGACCTGTCAGAATGAACTGTTGAATGAGCACGGTAACTTGGGATTTTCCAACCCTTGTCAAAGCAGACTGTATTGCACTGAGGCCAGTGTAAGTACTTTGCCCTTAAAAGTGAGTGGTCTTGCTCAGAACTTGGGGGAGAGCAATAATGCTGAAAGCCATGAAATTGTAATTTTAAATAACTCCAGGAAGAAGTGCTGCTGCCGAGGATTAAATAAACATGGAACTCGCGGCCGCCTGACTACTAGGGGAAGGCCGAAATTTAAGCAGTGTACTTTAAAAAGCAGATCTCTATTTATGATGTATAAGAAACTTTCTATGATTAAGTTTCGGCTTAGAATTGCAAAATCTCGTCCTAAGTTTTGGAGAGGCAAAACGTGTCGGTTGAGTAAAAGCAAGCTGAGCTGGGTGGAGAAAGTCACCAGAGACCGGCAAGAGGACCGGCATCGAGGTGCCTTCACAAGAGGTTCCAGGACCTTGGTTCCATCTTGGAAAAGGAAAACTCACTCTCCTTGGGCTGTGCTCAGCTTATCAGATATGAACAATCACATGCCTGGACCATTAATTGAAAAGAGTCAAGCCCGTCGGACTGTTCCCTGTCTTACACAGGATGCACTGTTCCCAAGTAGAGAGCTCTGTAATGAGGACCTTGCGTCGAGAGACCAAAATGGGACTGGTGAAACCCGCACGCCAGAGTTGTGTGTTGGAGTTTCCAGTGGGGCAGAGGCTGTGCACAAGGAGGAGACCAGGGGGACACCCACACTGGATGGTTGCTCTGATGAGGTCTTCATCTCTGTAATGGAAAAAGAAATCTCCAGTTCAGGTAGTGAGGAATCTAATCAGGCTATGGGTGCGGACGAGGTCGTCCTGGAACCCACCAGGGTGGATCTAAGCTCAAGTGACAGTGTTGCAAATGGACCTGTTCTTGCAGAGCTGGTGCAGAATGAAGACAGCCGCAGTCAGATGGAAGTAGAAGGGCCTGTAAGCATGGACGTCTTTGGGGCAGAGCTCTTAGATCACCCATACTGTAAAAGCCCTCTTGATGAACCTCTGAGAGGAAGCACAGGACAAAAATCAGGAACCCCAAAGAGTGGCAAGAGAAGTAGCCATAGAGCTTCTTGCGTCAGTGATGAGCAGTTGGCCGCGTGGCTCTGTGGTATATACTTATACTCTTTCCGTGCTTATTATAAATTGTATTTGAATATCCTAGAATTCTGCCTTCCTTATTTTATCTGACACGTTGAAAGCATTCAGTCTTAGTCACAACAACTATTGTACTCTTTGCTGTTGTACAGGGTGACATTGGGGGTGTTATCTGCTGAAATTATGTGTACGTGCAGAAATTGGGATGTTACACACAACCTCTTGTCTTTTGCTCTGGGTGGTCTGTAGAACATCTCAAGTGCCAAGCTACCTCTTACAGCCCACCAGTAGTATAATACTGTTCATGCTTTTGCTAGACTGCCTGACGAGCTAGTACTCTTTCAGACCGTACTATATGAGTGCTGATACGTCTTTGGCTCATCAGCTAAAAGGTTGTGGACGCTGGCCTCTGGTAGTGCAGAATGGGTTGAAAAACACAGCAGTGCAGGTGTTTCATTTGGTGAGGTCATTGGGGAGAAAAAGGAACAGAAACTGGAAGTTATAAGGACTGAGAATAAAATCAAAAGGCAGTTCATTCTTTAAAACCTTTTTTGTGTGTGTTTTTCCCCATATGTTATCAGGCTATAGCTCCCAGAAATCCTGGTCACCCCAGCTAGAGATGAAGACTTTTGGAAGCTTTAGTCCAGGAACATTTGGAGCCTCAAGATTGGGAAACACTGGGATGTTTCAGGAATTCAGGGTCTAACATTGCTTTTGTCACACACAGCATGCAGAACTGGCCAGAAAAAAAGGAGATATAACCCCATATAGCTGGGTTGCACTAGCGACAGAAGGCCAGTTTGATTTAATGCTGCTATTCTGCAATAAGATGGTGGTTGTATGCTGTGTATGGGTTATGAAGGAGTGACATTTCCCGTTTTGAATCTTTGGAAATGTGATGATAGAGCTGACATGCATTTGATCAAAAATAGCATGTGATCAAGAATGCCTCCATATAACTGAGATAATTCTGCTGTAACCTTTTGCACTTAGGGAATTCCAGGGAGCACATGTACAAGATAGTAGATCTATCAGAGTGGGTGTGTCGTTTGGATGCTTTACCATTTGATTACCATTCCTCTGTATGTGTAGCAGGTTGCTATGTTGTGTGAGTATTATTTTGTGACAAAAGGCCACCTGGACTCCTGTGTAACTTTGAATGATCTGCAGAGGCTTCTGTTATCCCAGATCATTTCCTCACTGGAGAAATGTGACTGTTCTTTCTAAATTCAGCAGCTCCTCTAAAACATAATGTGTTAATCAATGTGGTGTAAATGTAATCAACATTACTTTTACTGCTGTTTCCTCAGTAGGTCAGCTCTGAAATGCACCTTAAAACTAAAAATATTCAGTACTGTTATGGGAAGCAATTAATGGCTATCATTCTGTTGCTTAGTGTATTAAGTTGCACTAGATTTGGCCTGTTGAATCTGGTGATTTCGTGCATCAACTTCATGTGTTCTGTTGATTGAAATGGTCCTCCTCTAGTTGCAACTTACTTTAATACAAGGAGTTGCAACCAGAGTATGGCCATTTGAATCAGTGAACTTCGAGAGAGTTTGACTCACCAAATTGATTCATAGGGCCTACTCTAGTGTGAATTACGACATTAAACAACAAGATTTCAGCCAGTGTGATTGCTTTCAAAAGCACTGGTGTAGCATATGCATGAATTTCTGTATGTTGAAGAACCTAAGTGGTTCAGCTTTCCAGTAAGGATGTAACATGGATTTTCTGAGATGCAGGGAGACACAATATACTTCTACATATGAACACATTTACTATGGAAAGTCCTGGTATAACACAGATTGTTGGGGAAACAGTTTTGATATATAGCATTAGTGTAAGCACTGGATGTCACCGAAGCGACCAACATGACTTTGACCCAACTCTGGAAGGCAATGGAAGACAGGAGGGCCTGGAGTGCTCTGGTCCATGGAGTCAAGAAGAGTCGGACACGACTTAATGACTAAACAACAACAACAAAGCACTGAATAACAGAGGCAAATGTAGGAATTTAGATTACAGTTTCTCCTAGCAGATGGAGGGGGGAGATCTTGCAGAGAAGTAGAGTTGAAGAGTTTAGTGTCACTTGTCTGCTTACTGTTTGTTCCTTTGGAATTTCCTTTCATCCCACAAAGCATGTTTGCCACTTTATGTAGGTCTGTGTGGGCAAAATGCAATCCTCCAGATACTGGTAACTCCCAACATTCCTCTCCATTGGGTGTGCTGACTTGTATCAGGAGGTCTGGACTTTGCCCATCTCCTGCCCTAAGGTGAAGGGGTGGATCTTAAAACTTTGACCTTGTCTCTCCTGCCCTGTCATTTTATAGCATAAGATCCTGACCTGAATTTTGCAATTCAGTGCTTCGGTTGAACAGTACACATGCACAATATATGAATCGGGGAAAAAGTGTATGCACAAACCTGGGTTGGTAAAAAGAGTGCCAAAAATTGCCCTGTTTAATTGCATGTAGAATGTATATCATGGAGAAAATGCACAGGTAGAATACCAGTTTTCATGCAGTGTTAGAAAAAAATTGTAGACGATTTGGAAATTGAATGAATCATGCATGTAAATTTGGAAACTGAGATAGATTTAAATTAATGGATCTGTCCATCCATAAGGGATGTTTCCAGGTCTGATCATGGGTTACATTCATGCTGCAGACATGCTTAGTGAGCTAAAACATGTTTAGCTCACGCATGGTTCAAAACCCTTAGTGTCCATAGCTGACTATATGGCTGCTACTAGTCATACTACACCCAGGTGTAAGTGATGATTGTAAAAGTGGTAGAAACCAGTTAATTGATATATAATTGGCATATACAGTGGCTTAAGAGTCAGCAGTGTCTCCTAGACTTGGTGTACATTTCCATGGTTTTCTTTGAATGTCAAACAGAGTTGGAGGCAAAGCGGTTGGACCAGTGCAGCACCTGTCAGAAGTAATATGTACGGCTGTTAAATGGCATAGTTCTGTATTGAATTTTTTTCTATATGGTTCTCCTTCCCAGCTTGCAATTATCCCCAATTATTCTTTCAAAATAAGATATTTTGGAGGAATGGAAACAGGTTGCAATCATCTAAAACATCTGCCTATTTGTGTTCACTGTTAATTCCTTGTCCACTTCATTCAGTGTAGTAGCATGCAAATGGAACCATACTTTTCTCCATATGTTAGGGGTGTATGTCTCTCTCAGACCATACAAATGATGACATGCCAGAATTGCCGACATTTTCCAGGAAGTGCTTCATAACTAATTAGCAAAACGATTTATCAACCACTGCAGCACAGGTTGTAGAACACCACACATCTACATAGGGCCTGTAATACAGTGATGCCTCGCAAGATGAATGCCTCACGCAATGAAAAACTCGCAAGACGAAAGCATTTTGCGATTTTTTTTGTGACTTGTAAGACGAATTTTTCTATGGCTGTGCTTTGCAAGATGATTCCCCCCCCCTTTTGGGTTTTGTTTTAAATTGCACAACCGTTAGTACCGTGCTACGCAAGATGAAAATTTTGCAATCTGACACGACTTGTGGAACAAATTAATTTCGTCTTGCAAGACATCACTGTATGTTGTCAAAAGAGGTTTCTTTCATTTTCTTTTGGATGACATGTTCAACTTTTTAGGATTCTTGTCACCCTTTTAGCCATGCTCGGGAGACCTACAGATTCCTCTTGTATGCTTCTAGATTTCTCAAGATAGCAAGAATGGATGTTAGTCCCTCATTTAAGTACACTCTTAAGTCTTTACTCTAAAGACAGTAAAGACATTGCATGGCTCAAGAGCATCAACGTTTGTGCCTGAGCTCCTTTGAACTCAGCTTTGAGTCCAGTACTATGATGGCACTTCCCTTATTAACTTTGTATGTTAACCTTGCTCCTCAGTTAACCTTTCTGTTAATTTTTTGCTGTTCTCTTCTTGACTTGAAAGTAGGTTATAAAAACTCATCTATTCAAATATCAGCTACTTCCTGTGGAACTGATATTCTGTTACACAGGCCTGCAATTAATTTTTTTTTTTTTTACAAAAACCATTTTGTTGTTGAAGGATTCCTAGATGAAGTAATGAAGAAATATGGCAGCTTAGTTCCACTCTGTGAAAAGGATGTTATGGGAAGATTAAAAGAAGTCTTTAATGAAGATTTTTCCCATAGGTTAGTAACTTCCTTGACAACCTCTAAGCTCTGCTCTTGCATACTCCATATTCCATTTGCTGCCTGCTTCTTTTCACAGCTGCATCTTAAATATGCTTGGATAACTAATGTTTTGTCTGCCTCTTTCTTGGCTGCTTTAATGCTGTTCCAGAAAGCCATTCATCACTAAGGAAATCATGAAGTATCAGACGAGGCATCCCAAAACTTCCACTTGTAACTTCCGGGTCTTCTATAATAAGCACATGCTGGATATGGATGATCTAACAACTCTGGATGGTCAGAATTGGCTGAATGACCAGGTGAGAACAATCTTGAGATTCTGTTTTTTTAAAAAAGCAAAGACCTGTGTGGTTAAAATGGTATTCTGCAGTATAATTTTTCTGTTGTCAAGAAAACACAGAGCAGGTTTGTTTTTTCCTAGATGTGTTGGTACTAAAGGGGTTGGAAGTAATAATTGTAGTTTGCACCCCACCCGTCACTTAGGGCATTCTTGTATAAAGGAAGATAGAAAACATTTTGTCATGTTAACATTTTCCAGATGTAAATAATTGCTGATAAGCTATTCATCTGAATAAAAATCACTCTGTAGGAGGCACTTTTCGGTGATGAAAAATGGCCATTTCTGCTCTTGGAAGCTTTCTGGCTTGGTGTTTTTGCTTTTAAAAAAGGTGCAGACCCTTTGGTTTGCCTCCTGCAAAGTTGTTTCTCCCCAAAAAGCCACAGCGAGCTTCTAGTTATCTTGTTATCGGGAATCTTGTGCCTCCCTTATGGAGTCCTGAAGCATGAAGGTTAGCCACTACATCTTGTGTGTACTTCTGCTCTGTGTCTAGTATAAATAAGGGTGAGGAACATTGTAAGTTGCTGTCCAGCAATATCTAGTGTACTTTACTTGAACAGAAACATGCAAACACTCCCCAAGCTACATGGGGCAGAGCCACATACGTGCAACATATACTTCTTAATATTTCATAGCTATCTTTGTATGTCTATACATTTTCTTTGTTAAATCATAATTGTACAAGGTGCACTTTAATGTGTTTTACTTCCGTGGCACACAGATGTGTTTTATTTCATCCTTAAAGTGTGCATTTGAGATCAGTACAGTTGTAATTCTTAATTGTGTAATATTTTCCTAGCCTTTTGCTCTTGATTCTCAGTGTTGAGATTAATTTGGAACACTGGGGACTAGCAGCTTGATGGCTCTTTTAAACCAAAAACAAATTGGAACTCTCCCATAATTTGTCATAAATTTAGATTTTAAGAGCCATTTGATCTAAAAGCTGGGTAATAGCTTTTCCCCCCCATTGCATTGGTGACTTAGTTATTTATGGCTGGGCATTGTGGTATAAGAAGATGGTTTGTTTTGTATCAAACCAGATCTTTGAATTGGTTGACAAACAAAGAGGTAGAACTGAAACGTCTAATCCAGGTTTGTGTCAGTCCATGTTTTTAAATCATTGTATTCTGCTTGAGTGGAATGAGAGGTTTGTGTCAGTCCATGTTTTTAAATCATCGTATTCTGCTTGAGTGGAATGAGAAAGGAAAAAAAAACAGAGACAGGCAGTTGCAACAATAAAATAAGACAAAACTCTAAAGTAAATATCCATGACAACCTCTTTTTCATACATGCCTGTGACAATAAGTGAGGATCTGCATCACTGCCTAAAATGTGAAGTGAAAATTCTCTTAAAGATGTGAGCTTGGAACTTGCTGTATTTTGTGTAGGAAAAAATTATTTACATCCTCGTTTTTGGCAGCAAGTCTAAATCTTAGTGACAGCAACGGCTTTGATTATTTATGGAGCTGTGTATATACTATAAGATTGCAACCTCTTTTCAAGTTGTGAAAATGATTTTTGCCTCATAATGAGAAGATTTTGCAGCAGGCTGGTAAGTAACATGTTAAAGTTACTGTGTTAAATTGACAAAAGGATGCTGCTCTGTTTGATATCTGTGTAGCTCTAGGTCAGAAACCTCTGTATATTCTCAGGTGCAGATGCATAGGTTAAGTTTCACATCTGTTTTCGGTAAGGAAGACATCATGGTTCACTGATCTCCTGTTCTCTGTTCTTAAGTTCGATCGAGCTCAGTCTGTGTGTCCGTTTGAGAAGTCCACGGCTCTAAAATCCTGTTGTGCAGCTTCACTGGAATGATGTCATTGGTAGCCGCAGATTGCTGCTGATTAAAGGTTTCCTTTTGTGATTTTTAGGTATGCACAGCTTGCACATAATGCAGTGAAGTTGCTTGCATCTCGAAATTGCAAAGGGAAGCCTTTAATCAGAAGCAGTCTGTGGCTGCAGATGGCATCATTGCCATTGAGCAGGTGGACGTTACCCAAGAGGATTTCTGCCCATATCTTGTCAACCAGCTATATTTCACTACTTTTGTAAGATGACCGTCTTCTCTGAAGCTCAAGGTGGCCCAAACAGAGGTTATGCCTTTGTTGTGTTGCTGAGTGGTGTGTATGTGCATTTGTGCACACTCTGTGGAATAATGTGCAGTGTGGCATTCCCAGAAATTTTTCTTGGTGTGTACATCTCCAGTGACATGAGGGCTGAGGGTTTCGGTACCCAGCAGAACCTCTCGCCCCTCTTTGCTACTAGCCCCTCTCTGCTTCTGAGAAAATCAGATCAGATGATGTCAAGAGAAAAACTGTGGCACTGTTCTCTCTTGCTTTACTTTGAGAATAAAGCTTGCTTTAGCATAGCACTTGGAGCTGTCTTGTTCTAGTACAGAATATACATAGGGAGGTCTATCCTTGTATTTGCTCAAAATGATACTTGGATACATGGAAGAGTAATTCACTGTTGTGTGGCTGTGTGTTTGTTCCTCCCTAAAGCAGCTTACTTGTTGAACTCTTTCAGATTATCAATATGTATGGTGAACTAATAATGGATGCAGTACCTGACAAGGTGAGCTTCCTTCATTTTGTCTTATACTTTGCAGAAGTAGGTAAGCAGGATGGCAAAAGTGGTGGCATTAAAAATATGTCCAATCATCCAGTGGAAGAATGGTTACAGAGAAGGCATTTATTCCCTGGGGATGGATACAGTCAGATAGTAGACTCTTACCTTGCTTTTTCTTACAGCTTGTTTCTAACTGCCTACAAACTCTATGCCAGTAGGTGGACAGTCTGTTTTCAGATGTTCGCTCTGGCGTCATAAATCAGAGCTTTATGCTGCTCCTTTCCCCCTTTCCTTGTGTCCCAGGATTCTGGCTTGTCTTAAGCCAGGACCTCTTTTTTAAGTCATGAAGGCTCTAATTTTGTTTGATCAGTTGAGTCATTGATCGCCTTGTCTTTATAGGTTCATTTCTTCAACAGCTTTTTTCACAGACAGCTGGTAACCAAAGGATATAACGGGGTAAAACGATGGACTAAAAAGGTAGGCTTCTGTGTTCTGAATGTGAGAAATGTTGAACCATTTTAAGAATGAATTTGAAAGCAATACATCTTTATTAATAAAGCAAGCTCTTAAATGGGTTCGTTCTTGCATGAGATATATCGGAATGTCAGGTTGCTTCTCTGACAACGTGGTGACGGAGATGCTGAGAGGTTATTGACGGAGAACTTGAACCCCTTATTTCCCTGACAGATCATCATTGCCGTTTTGTCATTTTTAAAAAATCTTGCTTTTATGTAAGATTTGTTCCAAAGTTTCTGCCTTGTGATGAGCATCCCTGTGTACATTTGCATTCATGCCTCAAGTTAGTCTCTGTCCCCTTTTTCAGGAAGTTGAACACTGCCTCTATCAGTAGCAAGTAAAGTGAATTCTGCATTCCATGTGTGGGAGGAAATTTGAGACATTTATAGACTTCTATTAAAATGAAGCTGGAGGATTCCAGATTTTTTCACTCACAGCTTTAATTAAAGAGTTAGGGTTTGAAAGTCTAATTAGGGACCTCATTTTTTTTGTCTTTCCTTCCTTCCCCCACCCCAAGGTAGGAGTTGCCACTGGGGGGTTGGAGGGACTGATGTATACAAGAAGCTATTAACTCTATCGGTTTGTGTCCATTCATCATTTACATTCTTGGTTTTTGACTTGCATTGTTACAAAACATACAGAGGTGAGCAGGGGTGGGCAAGACACATCTGTGCTAGACGTGTGTGTAAAGTGTCTCTGAAGATGGTTTGGATACCAGGAAGTGCAAAATGCTGCAGCAAGACTGTTGACAAGGAAGGGCTTGTTACCATGATTGTGTGACATCCCTCCACCTCCCCCCCGCCCTGGTTACAACTTCTTTGGTTGCTGGTTCATTTCCGGACCTTATTCAAAGTGCTGATCTTTAAAGCTTTTTATGGACTAGGTCCAGGTAGTCTGAAAGACCATATCTCCCTATACATGTATTAAGATTTAGGACCTCAATACCTGTCAGAGCTCCTTCTTCTACCTAGTTCTACCCGTATCACTCATTCTAGTCAGGCTGGGCGGCTGAGGGTCTTATCTCCGAGAGAGGTCCGAAAGGAAAAATCTAGAAACCGGGCCTTCCTGGCGGTGGCCCCTGGCCTTTGGAACATCCTCCCTCCTGAGATCTGTCTGGCTCCCTCGCTGGGAGTTTTTAAGAGTAAACTGAAGACCTGGCTCTTCAGGCAGGCCTTCCCTTCTGACATTACTTATATTTTTCCCCTGGTTTTTTCCATCTTGGACTATAGTTGCGTGTTTTAGTCTTTTTACTGATGTTTTTAATTGTATTGCTTTTTGGACTGTAAATCGCCCAGAGTAGATGGGTGGTATCAAAGCCAGATAGATAGACAGACAGACAAGATTAGATTAGATTAGATTAGATTAGATTAGATTAGATTAGATTAGATTAGATTAGATTAGATTAGATTAGATCAGCTCCTCAGAGGAGTGTCTTCTCTCAGCCCGACCTCTCTCACAAACATAGATTAGATTAGATTAGATTAGATTAGATCTTCAGAGGAGTGTCTTCTCTCAGCCTGACGTCTCTCACAAACATGACTCTCAAGGACTTTTTCTGGGGCTGTGCCCGGATTATGGAATTCCCTCCCTTCTTTGGAAAGTATGGTCCTCCCTTTCTCTTCTTTCCTTCTGCTGTCTGCTGAAGACGTTCCTCTTTAGAGAGGCTGTTGGGGAGCGAGGAGACATTTAAGATCTTTTAGAAATTAAAAATTTGGAACAGACAGTTTTTAAATAATGTTTCAAATATGTATACATTGTAATTTTAAGTCTTAATCGGTTTACTTTAATTGTTGGTTTTGAAGTTTTTTGTGTGTGCCTTTGGGTCGCTGCTAAGGGAGAAAGGCAGGATAATAATCAAATCAGTCAATCAATCAATCAATCAGTTAGTGACTCAGTAATCTTGAGTGATGTTGAACACCAGAAAAGAAAACATGCAGCAGCATTACTTGATTTAGGAGAAACATCTTTTTAAGGTTTCCAGATACAGCAAATGGTAATAGCTGTTAGCACAGTGTGAACCCACCCACTGGATCCTTTTAAAGAGAAAATACAGGATGTACCTGCGTCCCTAGCAGGCTCGTTAAACATCATAAGGCAGAAAAAATATCTGGGCAAGTTGAACATTTGATTTGACTGTTTAAAATCTGGATGTGCATATAGAGGTGTAAGAAGACAGGATGTAGCAAGCTCAGAACAACAGTGAAGCCAGTCACCCAAGGCGGTACAGTTTCAGCTGTTCGGATTTTTTTGCAGACAAAACAAAGCAGCTATGAATTAAACATGGAGTTAGGAAGAGAAGCTTTTTGGATTCAGGGCACCATGTAGCTTTTTAGATATTGAAGTTACTTGAATGCTAAGTTTTTGAAGAAGCTGCTGTGTTAGTCTGTGCCGCTGACATTGTTCACAGCTTGATAGCCAATTTCATTATTAATGAACCATTTTCGCTTTGTACATTTTCTGGTCATGGGACCTTGTACAAATGTGACAGCCATAGAGTCATTCTGAGGTCTGAGGAAGTGGACTTGATCCACAAAACATCACATATAGTAGTTAATCTTTAAGGTGCCACAATATTTTTGTCTTTATTTTATTTTAGCCTGATCTGAATGCTGAAGTAGCCTTTGCTTTCCAACAGGTTGGAGTGGAGAGAGAGGCTAAGATGCAGTTTAAATACAGTGGTGCCCCTTATCCATGGCATCAGTATCTTCTGATTCAGTTATCCATTGTCTGAAAATATTAAAACTTTTAAAAGAAAAAATTGTTGAAATATATTTCTTCCCTCCCTCCCTCCCTTCCTCCTTTCCTTCCTTCCTTCCCTCCTTCCCTCCTCCCTTCCTCCCTTCCTTCCCTCCTTCCCTCCCTCCTTCCTTCCTCCCTTCCTTCCTTCCGTACGTACGTACGTACGTACGTACTGCCCATCTGGCTACCAAGATCACTCTGGGAAGTTCACAACACAATAAACAGACTACACTTTAAAAAACACTGGATATAATGACTGTGCCAAAAACCAAAAAGAAACATTAATCTGCATACACAAAAAGCAACATAGAACTAACTAAAAATAATTTTAAAAGGCAATTCACAATTGTCCTATGTACAGGTTCATATATTTTCATTTAAGCATCTCACCTGTCATGGTTGTAAGAAACCTTTCTCATGGGGATATTTTAAAGGCATTTGTAATAAGTGGTCAAGAGTTTATAAAGAGGAAGGTCTGCAAAACTGAGTATCGTGCAGCAGAACCTGTTTCTAACAGTGGAAGGATGTGAGTAATGCTCTAGTTTTAAGTTAACATAATTTAGTGGTCATATTTGTTTTGGTTTCTGGCTGCAGAGCCAGACGTTGGGAGTTCAGTTCCCCATTGTGCCTCTTTCACAGGAACTGGACTTCATGATCAATAGGGTCCCTTCTAGCTCCACAATTCAAAGATGATGAGGA